GTGTGTGTGTGTGTGTGTGTGTGTGTGTGTGTGTGTGTGTGTGTGTGTGTTCGGCTGTATAGAGCGTTTACAAATCCAACATGAACTAGGCTTCAAGTTATAGTTCTTTAGTTTCGTACAAGAATACTTTTGGGTAATGTTACACCAGTTTTGGACGACACTAAAGATTTTTCTCTCATTTCAGCAGCTTTCTTCAGATTCTGACCCTCTCAGACTTCTTGGAATAACCCCTCAGCCACGCTCTAACATTAGTTTAGACAAGTTGGACACTAATTGCTGTTCACTGAAGCCGTCAGTGGAGACACGTCCGTTTTATTAAAGGAGGACGATTTTGGCACAGAAGATGAACGATCTCTTCAGGGAGAGATCTCTCATGCGCCAGCTGATTATGTGTGTGTGTGAAAGGGTGGGGTGTCGCCCAGCGGTCCGTCACGTACCCCAGCCCGCCGCGCGCCGGCTTATTTTTCTTCGGCTCCCCTCTCAGAGTGCCAGCGCTGGCAGACAGCAGAGCTACTGCTTAATACCTTTTAAATGGTTTTAATTTTCTGTCTTTATTGATTTCGCAGGGCATGATTAATCAGATCAGTGGAGCAGGCAGTTAGTACATTAAAAATTGTCAGCCCCACGTCAGGGATGATTGGGAGCTGAAGTGCGCGCATGAGGGATTGAAAGTGGCAGAGCTGAACGTTTTTTGTTTTTTTTTTTGGTCTTTGAAGTTTCATGTTTTTATGGAAACTGAAAGTAGCTGAGTTTAATTTTACATTTAAATACATATGTGGTATTAAATAAATTATTCAGTCTTTTAGGACAGTTTCTGTATTTTCCTTCATATTTGGTTGCTTTTGTGACAATCCACTTTAAATGAGTCAGAAAAGATCCACGTTTGATTTAAAATGCTGTAACCTTTTTAAAGTTTTAAAGTTAAAATAAAGTATTTTATCCTAAATAACTGTTTTAGACTTGGAAGGCTAGAGTTTGAGATGAAAAGGACGTAAATATACTAATATAAAAAAAAAACATTTTTTTTTCTTAGGCATAACTTTAGGCTTTACTCGCTTTCTTACATGTAAATTAGTTACTAAAACAATTCTGTTTTCTTTTCACAGGCTTTGGGAAGCATGTACTTCATCCACAAGACACTGAAAAATATCTATCAATATGACTTTAATGGTAAAAAAAATGTTTTTTTTTTCCTTTTGTCTTTATTGTAAATTTTTATTAGGGCTTTTACATTATATATGCAATTCAGATATTATTATTATGTAATATTGTAACTACATCAAGATAATTTCTTCACTCCCACTTTCTGTACTGTTAGTGAGATAACACTTCCGGTGTGCTTTATTGTCTCATTGCCTCCTTTATGATGCTGATTTTGCACACATCAATATTGCTCTGTAAAATTTTAACACCGCGTGCAACGCTAACTTTTATTGGTCCATAAAAGATCAATTTGCAGTTATCGTTTTTTTTTTTCTGAATCACATGGTTTTATTATTTATAGAAAGCATTTAACTACAACAAAAGGTTCTAACTTGAAAGCAGCAAAAGGTTGTTGGATATGGCAACCTCTTTTATCTTATTTTTTATTTATTTATTGATAAAAGGAATTTTAAGTTGTTTCTGTGTGTGTAATGATAGTTTGACGGCTACACTTTCCAGACAGGTATTTGCAAAGAACTAAAATTCAAAGTGGAGCTGTTCATTTTGCTGCTACGTAGTCCAGTCACGTTAGATGTGAAAAAGCTCCACAGAAAAGCTTATGGAAGAACCATAAACATCCCGGAGCTGCCACTCGCTGCGTGGCCCAAACCAATTGTCGTTCACCAAACGAAGTCTAATGGCCCTCGTATAGATTCTCTCATCACGTATGCTGCTCTGATGAGGTTAACACCAGTTTATTGATTGCTGTTTGCATGTTTTCTCACTCTTTTCCATGTCGCCACACTCACGCCGCCTCGCTCTCTCACAGTTAAGGAGTTCAAAGCAGTGGTGGGGCAGAAGTGCGTGGGCTCTCTGGACAGGGTCACCACTGTGGAGAAAGAAAAATTCCCAAAGAATTTCTGGCCCGATGTAAGTATGTATGCACGAGTGTGCGGGAGAGGTACGGGATGGGTTGGTCATGTTCCGAGGGGAGATGTCAGGACAAATGGGTCTTCTGGGGCTGCCGGGGCTGTCTGCCTGCTCCGACAGGGAGATGAGACAAATTATCTGCAACAATCAATAATTATCAGTTTGGATCTTTAAAGACACAGCTCACTGGGGTTTAGTCACTCACTCCCATTTGTCTCTGTCGCAGTTCAAGTGGTCTAGAAAGGGCTTCATGAGGACCCGCTGGATCATCCACAACCAGTACGTAACACGTTACACATCACCCCGATACCCCTTAACTTGGCTAACGTTCAGGTTTTTCTGTCGTTCAGAGGTTTAGACCTGGTCAACGTCCACCTGTTCCACGATGCCTCCAACCTCATTGCCTGCAATTCCAGCCCTTCCATTTATTCAGCCAACCGTAAAAACGCCCTCAAATATGTCATCAACAGGTGAGAGAAAACAGGGCTGTCAAAGTGTGATTCAAGCTCTCGTTTACCATCTTAATCCAAATTTCAACTTGTTGAAAATAAGAAAAAAAATGCCTGACTAGTGTATTTTCCTTGCAGGTTATCAGACAACCGCTACACTGTGCTGCCTTTTTTCCTGTTTGGGGACTTTAACTTCCGTCTAGATACTCTAAGTCTTGTTCAGGTATGTCACATCCAGAGGTTGCGTTAATGGAATATTTTCCGGATTTGACTGGTTTTTTTGCACAATGACGGAAAAATCTGAAGGCAGTCCGTCATTTTGACAGATTGCAATTAACACCCCTGACCTCTTAAAACCTGGTTTATACTTCGAGTCGCACGTCTTTCCCCACTGCTGAGTAAAAAATAAAATAAAATAAAATAGCACAACTTCTGTCTGCTCTCCCGCTGATATCCCCCGGTGACAGCCGTCTTGTGCATGGCCTCCAGTCAGAACTGTGCCGACGGGACGTTGTGGCTCTCAGTGTGTGATAGGTCCAGAGATTGTGGGTGTGTTTGTTCATGAGGAGCACCACAGAGGGCCAGTGGTCCTCAGCTGTGCCAAGACTGGGAGCTGGACCACGAGAACAGGACCCCGAGCAGCTCAATTCCTTCTGTGTATTATTTTGTTTAAAATGATGTTGTTTTTTTTTGTCTGAAGCCAGTTTTAAAAAGAGCTCAAAGAGCAGCTGGTTTGATCCAGGTCCCAAGGATGAATGTGAGCACGCAACTGGTCGCGTCTTTTTTTTTTTCATCCACCGTTAACAAAATTAAAAAAAATAAAAAGAACGGCTCTACTTCACTCAACTTAACACTGATGTTGAGTGGAAAAAAACACTATCCAGCCATCGTTATTGTAGTTTATATACTATATATGAGCTGTGGGAGGGCAGAGGGAGGATTTATGATAATTTATGGCCCACCGCGTCTTCAGCCCGTTTATACTCAGTCAGGAAAAGACGCGCTGAAATTGCGCAATCATCAACCCGCTGTCTCACGTTTTATTAAAGTATCCTGGTTTAAGTCTGGAAGACTTAATAAATAAGCCAGGTGAGGCGGAGAAAAAAAATCAACGAGGCTTCACAAGATGGCTCTGTGACATCACTCTCACGCACACAGACATTTTCAGCTTTACACACGGAGCAGGTCTACATCACGGAGGTCTTATTTAATCTAAAATAAATAACATATTCCCATCTGATCATCTCAGATCTAGACACCATACTGAATGCGTCTCCAGGAGCTGACAGTGCATTGAAGACAGGAGGCTTTGGAGCGTCTGTGAGGCGCAGCTGAAGCAGTGGCACAGTGAGAGCACACTGCAGGATTTCCTCCTGCTGAAGCAACAGCTTTGGGATTTGGAAATAAAGTGTTGCTGACTTCTGATCATTTTGACTGGAGAAATGCTTTCTGATTTTAAAACTTTGGCTGAAGTGCTGCTTGTTATTCCAACAGTGTCGCAGCAGAGCGCGGGTTTGAACTTCAGAACGACTGGCGCAGATGTGCGTAACGTGAGATTTTTCTTAGAGATATTTTATTGCATAAATCAAATCTATACTCGTTTTCTGTTTTTATTTAATAATATTTTTAACACTGTGGCAGTGGTGCGATATGACTGACTGCAACTCTGACTTTCTCTTTTCTCTCGTCCTCCTGCAAGGGAGGCAGAGACAGAAATAAGGAGGCGTTATCTAATGTTGAAA